CCCCCCCCCCCCCCCTTACCTCTATTTTAAAAAATAGAATTCAACAAAACAAAAGTAATAATAATTAATTTTAGTAATTGTTTCGTACTTTGGTCCACATTTCTCTTCAGTCGCAACCACATGTGGCATTCTTAACAATGCTCAACAATGTAACTACGGCCTTCACGGACACATGTCTTTTATTTGTTAGCCATGAGATCCCTGCACGACCGCAGTTAAGTGTCACCATCCCCCCACACGGCAGCTACTGGGTCCTTAAGGCTTTAAATACACGTTAATTTGGAGACAAGCCACACCACGACTTGACCCGCAGCGCTGAGGTGACCACAACGCCGCGGCCCGCTCTCGAGCGGACTGACCGATCTAGAGAGCAAATGTCAAATGCTACCACCCCAAAAAAATATACATATATTAAAAAAAATGTGTTTCGTCAGTCTCTCGCGCCCTGCAACGATCGATTGGAGTCTTCTCTTTGCCAAATGCCAAAGTCGAGTTTTAAACAATTCATGACTGTAGAAATAGGGACCTGAAGAAATGATCTCGTGGGTCGAGCAAAGGAACGTATGTGTCCGGGTTAGGGGGGAAAGAATAAGCCAGTGATAGAGAGAAGGGGGATACAGGATGATGAATGGAGATGGAAGAGAAAGAGAGGGTTGGAGAGGAGGAGGAGACAATCAGAGATAGAGAGGAACAGCAAGAGATGGATAAAGAGAATCAGTGAGAGAGACAGAGAGATTTGAAAGAGAGCGATGGGGAGAAAGAGAGAGAGAGAGAGAGAGGGATAGAACGAAACGGAGAGTGAGAAAGAAAGATAGAGGGAAGAGATAAAGAATTAGGGAAATAGAGAATCAGTGAGAGAAAGAAAGAGATATATAGAGAGAATCGGTGAAAGAGAACTGATTGAGAGAGAGAGAGAGAGAGAGAGAGAGAGAGAGAGAGAGAGAAAATTAAACATGTGCTTTGAAAAAACATGAAGTGTGATGATCATCAACTAAGTCTTGTTTATATGAAGAATTTGAAACAACATTTCTATTAAAAAAGAAAAAAAAAAAAAAAAAAAAATGAAAGAAGGAAGAGAGCAACTAAAAATAAAAAAAGGATGCGAGTTTAAACAATTCCGATGAAAAATGTCACGTATTAAACAATGAATGTTTTGTTGAAATAGAGATTTCCTCTTGTATTGACTGCACAAACACGTTCTTTAATCAACATCATAAGATTAAACTCCTCATCTGCTTCTTTTTTCATGGGTAAAGATTATTTCGTTTCTTTTTATGAGTTTTCTTTTTATTTTCTTCCTTCCTTCCTTTGTTTCTTCCTTTAGTTAAAAAAATTACATTTGTATCTATTATTTAAAGGAAAAATATTTTAAATTTGTGTAGTACATGAATACATCTGTTGTTTTAATTTCTAATTCCAGTTTCACTAAGTCCGTCAGGACTTCAGCCGGCCCCACAAAATGTCAGCTGTGGACCCCGGGTCCCCACGACCCACCAGTTCCACCCCCTCACCCAAGACCGGGCCCAAGAGTATTTACCAGTCTGCCCATAACTCCCCCGGCCACGGAACACACTCTTTCACCGGCAACAGTAACACATATCCACCGTCCCAGGCGCCCTACTCAGGTGGGCGCCGACAGGACAGCACCACCGACGACGAGGATGACGGCGACGACGATTACTCCTCACCCCTAGTGACGCCGCCCATGTCATCTCCTCTCATCAAACGCCGGGGGAGCGATGAGAAACGCACGCGACGTCGAATGGAGAGAAATGTAGACGAGAAGGGCGTTCGGGAAACGAACGTGGACGATACGGCATCACACCTCGATGATAAAGAGAGGGCCCACGCAATGATGCGTCCAATGTCAAAAGACGACGGTGAGGAGGGCGCCGAGAAGCCCCAAGTCAACCTGCAGCCCCCTAGCTACCAAGCCATCATGGACGCCCAGAGCAACGGCGGGCCGCCTGCCTCCCCCGCGGACTCGGCACTGCACGTTGCGTATAGCGAGGGCTTGAGCCAGGCCAGCGTCATCGCCACTCTGGCATCTCCAAGGTTACAGCGTTCCGATTCAGTCAAATTCTGCCGGGCGTCTAACGGCAATGCTCAGCGTAGCGGGCACGGTGTCTCAGTCGCCGGCATGGCTGGATCGAATCCAGCGACCGGCGCCACTCGACCGGCCCGTCGTGTGCCCAGTCTCAAGCTCAAACGTCTCCACGTCCAGGGGTCGCGGGGCGGCTTCGGAGGGGACAAACTGACACTTCCCGACACGGGCGGCGCAGGTGGGGACGGCTCCAGTGGCGGCACGACAGGTAGTAACCTCGGGCCGCCTGCCACCGTGGTGCTGGGCGGCCACGTGAACCCCTCCATTACCATCACCCTCGACTCGGACTCGGACTCTGTGTACAGCGACTACCTGAGCCCCGAGATCAACTACAAGAACCACGATAGCAAGGTGCAGTTTCTCGGGGACGAGACGAGTCTCTATGGGACGCCGAAGGAGGAACTTCCGACGGAGAAAGACACGGTGTCCCTCGACGCACTAGCCAAAAACATCAGCGCCAAGACGTACCTAAAAGACCAAATCATGAATTTCTTTCAGCCGTCCGACAACAAGCTGGCCATGAAGCTGTTCGGCAATAAAACGGCGCTCATCAAGGAGAAAATGCGCCACAAACGGGTGGGGAACTGGGTTATACACCCGTGTAGCAATTTTAGGTAAGTCTGTCGATTATTTTTTTTCTCTCTCTCTCTCTCTCTCTTTCGTGTGTTTAGATTCTGAGGTAATCCCTGTAAACATGCCAAATACAGTTTAGCGGGGGGGGGGGGGGGGGGGGGAATAATTCTGACACCATTTCACCGGAGTTTCATCCAATTTGATTCTTTCAATTGCATAGTTGTTTTGTTTTTTTTGTGTATGTTTTAAAAATAGTTTTTCGTGAATTTGTTCTTCTGTCACAGGCCACAAAACAACAATGTGTTTTTGTCTTCCAGCGGTTATTTCAGATCACAACTCCTATTTTGGATTTTAACTTTGAAATTTCAGTTCCAATCTATTATTTCAGCGAATCCATCGCACAACCGAAAAAAAAATAATCTATACTTGGACGTGTGTTGAAGTTTAGAGTGATTCTTAAACTGGATTTACCTGTGCCTTGTTGGATACTTAGCCACTGTTGCAAGAAGTCTGTGACCACCCTATTAAAAATCCGGGAACCCTCTGTCTAAACAAACTACACCAGGCGCGGGCCACGTGTTTAATCTTCTGATGGCGTATTGGGATTTCCTCTGAAAGGTGCATTGCATATTTAAAACAATTGTTCTCAATTTTTACCTTTCCTCTTGGCCACTATTAGTAGCCGCACTCTTCGATATCGTCCCCCCCCCCCCCCCAACTCATTGGTTTTCAAGCTCTTATAAAAAGCGCGGGCTTTTCTGTTAGATCAGGGGGTCCTCAATTTTTTTTTTTTACAAGGGCCGAATCAGTGTCCTCATACACCGTCGGGGGCTGGACTATACTTTGAAAAAATTTGAACGAATTCCACACACACTTCGAATATTTCATTTGTAGTTCTTTAAAACTTGACTGAAACAATCAGGTATTTAAAATGTAGAAAAAACGTCCCCGAAATAAACATAAAAGTATTTCAAAGGGAGTTTTGGCTAATTATACGATCACTGTCTGGTTCCGAATGTGTCGCTGCTAGCCGGGTACCATTAAGGAGGCTGGGCGGGACGGAATTGGGCCCGCGGTCCGTAGTACGAGGACCCTTGTGTTCGGTCTTGTGTACATGTAAATACCATATTATTTAAGTAAACTTATTACATTAAAAATTCTGTAGTTAACTATTTAAAAAAAAAAAATGTGTTATCATTTTTTGTCGTAAAATCGAGCAAAGATCATTATTTTTTGTTATTACTCATTCCGAAAATGTTAGCGTGATTAGTTTATTTGGTTATACTTGGTTTTCATGATTGATTACGGATTTTAAATTATATCAAAGAAGGATAGGCTTAGTGGGCCAGGCCACCCCCATGATATTGGATTAGTGGTCAGCTGGATCAGACCATCAACATGGTATAAATTTTAGGGTCAAGTGGGTCAGAGGACCAACATTGTTTTGTTCAGGTCGAGTTTTCAGTTGGATCACACCACCAACATTGTAGAGTTCTGATGGTCAGTTGGATCACACCACCAACATTGTAGAGTTCTGATGGTCAGTTGGATCACACCACCAACATTGTGGAGTTCTGATGGTCAGTTGGATCAGACCGCCAACCTTGTTTAGGTATGGTGGTCACCCGGACCAGACCACCAACATTGTAGAGTTCTGATGGTCAGTTGGACCAGACCACCAACATTGTGGAGTTCTGATGGTCAGTTGGATCAGACCACCAACATTGTTCATTTCTGAGGGTCAGCTGGACCATTATACCAAAAATGTAGACTAAAACTGATCAATATTAATTGATACCGTGATCAAGTGATTAGTGGGATGTCTATATGAAGGCAAAAAGTGGACACGTTTCTAGGCTGATGCAGTAGAAGATACGATAGTTCACAGTGCAATAGAAACACTCTTGAGTTCCTTGTTTACTTCATTAAGTCAAATGAATCTGCTACAGAAGATTGAGCTAAAGATACGATACTTCACTGCACAAAAGAAGCCTTTCGCGTGTTGTACTGTTTGATTCATGTGTTACATTTTAAAAGACAAGGCAACACGACAGGTACTTTTAATTTAAACACAACAGGCGATTTCCCTGCGCGCGTGTGTTGCTCAACCCACCTCAGTCCCACCCGGGTGGCTCATAAATAAGACCCACAATTAAACCTGAGATGTTAATCTTGTAACCGCTACGAGAAGGTGTGGGTGGGGGTAAAAGGGGGGGGGGGGGTTGAAACGTAAACAGGAGAGGTAGTATGAGCATTGGAGAACCAGAGAAATTGTGTGTGTTATTGGGAACCAGATATATTTTGTGTGTTATTGGGGACCAGAGATATTGTGTGTGTTTTTGGGAACCAGAGATATTGTATGTCTTATTGGGGACCAGAGATATTGGCTGTGTGTTATTGGGTACCATAGATATTGTGTGTGTTATTGGGAACCAGAGATATTGCATGTCTGATTGGGGACCAGAGATCTTATTGGGGACCAGAGATATTGTGTGTGTTATTTGGAACAGAGATATTGTATGTCTTATTGGGGACCAGAGATATTGTGTGTGTTATTTGGAACCAGAGATATTGTATGTCTTTTTGGGGACCAGAGATTTTGTGTGTGTTATTGGGAACCAGAGATATTGTATGTCTTATTGGGGACCAGAGATATTGTGTGTGTTATTTGTAACAGAGATATTGTATGTCTTATTGGGGACCAGAGATATTGTGTGTGTTATTTGGAACAGACATATTGTATGTCTTATTGGGGACCAGAGATATTGTGTGTGTTATTTGGAACCAGAGATATTGTATGTCTTATTGGGGACCAGAGATTTTGTGTGTGTTATTGGGAACCAGAGATATTGTATGTCTTATTGGGGCCCAGAGATATTGTGTGTGTTATTGGGAACCAGAGATATTGTATGTCTTATTGGGGACCAGAGATTTTGTGTGTGTTATTGGGAACCAGAGATATTGGCTGTGTGGTTGGAAAGCAAAGATGGTGCATTGTGGATATGATCATGAAGGAAAAATATTTGCTGTGGATATGGTCGTGAGGAAAAGATTTTGCGGGTAGTTGTGGTCGAGTAGGAAAAATATTGTGAAGGTGATTGAGACTGGATGATTATGAAGCAACCATGTAGTTTGGAGGATTGTATAGCGTATGAGATGTAGTGAAGTATGGGCGTTGACTGCATTGGTTCAGTGTATTTATATGATTGAAGTAGGTTGTGTTTGTGTAAGTTGTGAATTGTGAATTGTGTAAGAGTCTTGAGGTCTATGTTACATACACGTATGTAAAGTCTGCATGTATATATATATATATATATATATATATATATATATATATTGTTTTGTGCTTGGTATAGATGTGTAGTTCGTTATATTTAAGTTGTGTTTATAGTGTATATGTGTTGTGTATGTGTGTATTTATATGAGTGATGTATGTTGTGTTTGTGTAAGTTGTGAATTGTGAAGTGTGTAAGAGTCTTGAGGTCTATGTTACATACACGTATGTATAGTCTGTATGTATATATATATATATATATATATATATATATATATATATATATTGTTTTGTGCTTGGTACAGATGTGTAGTTCGTTATATTGAAGTTGTGTTTAAAGTGTACATGTGTTGTCCAAGGCATGGCTTTGTGGTAGATGTGATCTGTTAAAGAAATGCTCGCCATTGGTATTGATTGGTGGTTCTCTGTAGGCAACGGCTGTGTGATTCTTTGTCTTTGGGTATGTTTGATGGAGCAATGTCTGTATTGTCTTTGCCATTGGGTATATATGATGGAGCGTAGCTGTGATGTTCATCGATTTGATGTGTTCCATGTGTTACGTACATGTGTGTGGCGTTGGCCGTGATGCGCGTGGTAGGGATCTGATGTGTGTGGCATGGCTGTGATGAGTGTGCTATAGGCTGTGATGTGTGTGGCATGGCTGGGATGTGTGTGCTATAGGCTGTGGTGTGTGTGGCAAGGCTGAGATGTGTGTGACAAGGCTGTGATGTGTGTGGCAGGGCTGTGAAGTGTGGGGCATTGGCTTTGAAGTATGTGGCATCGGCTGTAATATGTGTGGCAAGACTGTAATGTTTGTGGCATGGATGTGATATGTGTGGCATTGGCT